AAGCTTGTTTTACGTGCGCTTATCCGGGGACCCTGTGGCATCTTCGTCTGGTCTTGCTGGCGTTGGTGTCGCACTAAGCGCTAGAGCTGAGGCAGCACTAATCGATTGGATTCCCATTAACAGTCGGTTATGCGCTGTTAGATTAGAAAGTTCCATCAAAGTGAGAAGAAATCGGCGCGAGAAACATTGTCTTTTCGTCATCTCCGCCTGTGCCCCGACAGATTGCAGCCCGGATGCAATCAAGGATGAGTTTTACCACCAGTTATCTGTTTTTCTGCAGAAAGTGCGTTCGACTGATATTGTAGTACTAACCGGAGACTTGAATGCTCAGGTAGGGCGTCTAGGCACAGAAGAGAGTCGTTTAGGTGGCCCATGGGGACTCGTTGGTCGCAGGTCAGATAACGGGGACCGTCTACTGCAACACTGCACAGACCACAACCTGTTTTTGGCTAGCACTAACTTTCGGCACAGTCATCGCCGATGTGCCACCTGGCGTCCTCCCTCTGCACCTCAAGCCTGGACTCAGATTGATCACATCGCGATCATCTACCGCTAGCGTGGTTGTGTACAAGACTGCCGCTCCTTTTGAAGTACCTATCTGGACTCTGACCATGCCCTGTTCTACGCCAATCTTGCCTTACTTTTCAGTGGACAACGAAGTGACCGCCATCAACGGATTGATATTAGCAAACTGGTTGCAACTTCTGTTGCAAGTAAGTATCGAAACGAGCTAGTTTCTAGGCTAGCTACCATTCCACCGAAAAGTATAGATGAGCATTGGTTGCAATTGCATGACGCCATGAAAATGGCGGGAACAGTCAGTTGTGGGTTTGAGAAACGTCCCGCTTTCAAGCACTGGGTTTCTTCTGGTTCCTCACAACTCATAGAAGCCCGTCGATTTACTTCGGGTGACCGTGAGTTTGACCATAAACGAAGGATGTTACGTAGCGAAATTGGGCAAAGCTTGCGTACGGACCGAGAAGCCTGGTGGTCGGAGCGTGCTAATAAGCTGGAAGCAGCAGCTGCATCTGGTAACTAGCGGAAGCTCTTCCAGTTCATCCGAGCCACTGGCAGCAAGAAGTCTGGTGTGAGTGAAACAATCTGGGAGGATGATGGGATGCCAATCACTAACATCCATCGACGTCTTGGACGATGGGCGGAACTTTTCGAAGGGCAGGTCAACTGGCCTGCTTCTCCGGCAACTTCGGTCAGACTGTCCTGCCCTCCATGGCCGGTGACGACTGATCCACCAAACGAGAAGGATGTCCGCAAAGAACTTCAACTCTTGAAGTGCTACAAACGACCTGGCCCAAATGATTTACCTCTAGCTTTTTTAATGATTGTGGTGACTTTCTGGCTAAGGAACTGACGACGATGTTTAGAAAGATCTAGGAACTAGAGAGTGTACCAACGTCATGGAATGAGTCGATAGTTGTCCCTATCTTTAAAAAGGGTTCACGTCGTTCCTGTAACAACTATCGGGGGATAAGTCTACTTCCGATTGCGTCCAAGCTATTAGCTTCCGTCATACTTCGTAGGTTGTTCAAAACCCGAGAAAGATTGACTCGCGAGGAGCAGTCTGGGTTTCGTTCTGGTCGAGGATGTATTGATCATTTCTTCACCCTCCGCCAAATGTTAGAACACCGCCATACTTATCAAAGGCCAACAATCATAGTGTTTCTCGACATCAGGGCTGCCTTCGATTCGTTGGATAGGACTGGTCTCTGGGATTGTCTATTGAAGAACGGTGTGCCTGAGAAGTTTATTAACATCTTAAAAGCCCTATATACAAACACCTCAGGCAGAGTGAGGGCATACAATCACCTTTCTCCTTTGTTCCATTCGAGCAGTGGGGTTAGGCAGGGTTGCCCAATCTCACCATTCCTCTCCAACTTTGCCATCGATGACATTCTGGAAACAGCTCTGATGAATGTAAGTAATGGTGGTGTGGATCTGTTGCCTGGAGAAAGACTTCTCGACCTTGAGTATGCGGACGATATTGTCTTACTGTGTGATAATGCCCAAGGCATGCAATCCGCACTTAATCAGTTGGCAATCAGTGTCCGTAGGTACGGTATGTGCTTCGCACCTTCGAAGTGCAAAGTAATTCTACAAGACTGGCAGGATTCCAATCCTGTACTCACCCTGGATGGTGAGCAGATAGACGTAGTTGAGAAGTTCGTGTATCTGGGTAGCTGCATAACTGCTGGTGGTGGCGTGAGTGATGAGATCAATGCACGTATAGTGAAAGCCAGAACGGCTTATGCCAATCTGGGTCACCTTTGACGCCTTCGTGATGTTAGTCTGGTTGTAAAAGGTCGGATCTATAACGCGTCGGTGAGAGCAGTTTTGCTCTATGCTTGTGAAACCAGGCCTCTTCGAGTTGAGGACGTTAGACGACTCTCTGTGTTCGATCATCGTTGTCTCCGAAAAATTGCTGACATTCAGTGGCAACACCATGTCAGTAATGCAGAGGTTCGGCATCGTGTATTCGGGCACAGAGATGATAATGCGATTGGTGTCACCATCTTGAAACACCGACCTCTGTGGCTTGGACATGTTCTCCGAATGTCATCCCAGAGAATTCGACGTCGTGCATTATTTGCCGACTCTCGGACTGGTTGGAAAAAGCGGAGATGTGATCAGTGTATGACATGGAGTCGTGGTATGAAAGAAAGCTGCAAAGGACTGGCTTGTGTTGGTCCTTCACGACTCCCTGGTTGGGGTCTGAGAGATGGTGCTACACAGTGGCTAGAGACGTTATCAGATATGGCTCAGAATAGAAGCCAGTGGCGATCCTGCAGTAACCTTCTTTTACTTTCTTCATAAAAAGTGGTTATTTCTTCCTTAACTGAAAGATTTCTTCTGATTGTACCTTTGCGTTCCCTGATTACTAGCACACTACCTTACACCAATCTCTTCGTTATTGTTCTCTTTTTGTTTTGCTCTCCTTAGTTTCTTTTTTTCTTTCTATTTCTCTTCTAATTCTCATTGTTTTGTGTGGCGCATATATACTGGCGCTCTCTTGTACTAATATTCATGTGTTAAATTTTAGCACATCTTTTTGTGTCCATCCTGCCTGTGAAGACTAAGTGTCATTTCTTCATAATGGTTGTAGTTAAACGTATATTAAAAGTCAAGGATTGTTTGAGACTAGATAAACAGTCAAATTACATTACCTAATTGCTTAGCTATTTTTTTCTAAGAGCTTATCATTTTATCTTAGTTAATTGAACATGACAATCAACACCACCGTTGAGCTGTAGCAGTGGTTCAGCTTAATCCACTTTAATACTCCACTTAGGTTCATACTTGGATTTTCAAATCTCTTAGAGAGCTGTATATATTCAGGTGTCAAAAAAGTCTGTGCTTTCCCATAGTTTCCCTCGCACATATATTAAGTTGTATTTGTGTATGGTTTCTAAATTGAAACGTTTTGTTAATGTTAGTCAATGGGAATTTAATGAAGCATATAATCCATCATTGAGTTGTAGCTACCAGTTTACATTAGGAAATATTCTCCTTTCTTTTATCAAACATCTGCATAGTCATGTTGGATTCTGAATTCCTTAATATCTTTACATCGATTATGATTATGTACAATTTTTATTTATTTATTTATTCATTTATTTAAACACAATGACATTGGTACAATGAAGCATCAAATAGATATGCGCCACATAAATCATTCGACTTGTGTGAGGGCTGGGATACTGCACGGGTGCCCAAACCGAGGCAGGTGGTTTTCTTCGGGGGCCACACCCCGAGCCTTCGACCTGAAGGTCTGATCCACAGGTCAATGGAGCATCGTAAGGAGGTGTAGTCCCATGGTAGCCGGTGAACAACGATTGGTTCATACGCCATTTGTTCCCGCAGGATACTGGAGCCCATGTGCACCATTGGTTTGTGATCCGGTTAAAGCGCCGGACATTCGCTTTTCGTCCTCTCATTTTCGTAAACAACAGTAATGCCACGAGAAGGCAATGAGTAGTACTTCCCTGGTAGAGGCTATATACGTGTGGTCATGTGAGAGTATTTCGAGAAGGAGAGCGGACTTTCTCCACTCTCGGCTGTACCAGGGAATTTGGGGGCGATTATGTACAATTGTCAGATATAACTAGGTTGACTCATGCCATACAACCCTTATCCTTTAACGGAGTTGTCATAATATGCGACACAGTTTTCTTCTCATTAACTAGGATCGACTTTATGTGAAAAATCATTTTTGTGTTCTAATTCATAGGAATAATCGTTCGTTTTCTCATTGTTTTCTGCATCATTCGATATGATCTTTTTTTTAAAGATCCTATTTTTTTAAATATATACTCTGTTTATTTACTACATCGATAACACACATTCATATACAACAGGTCAAATATATATATTCGTCTCGAAGGTTTAGATATTTAGTGTACTTGTAATCATTAGTCTGCACTATTTTAAAAATTTTTCTTTACTTGTTGTTAACGGAAATCTAATGTTTACTCTTATGCCGACTTTCTGTTTGATAATAATATTTGAACTAGTCGTTGTATAGAAATAGATACTTCCACCTGTTTCAATTTTAAACATTTATGTGAGCTTAACGACTTGTTGTTTCTAATAACCCCATACAACGTTGAAATTCGACTTCTTTAAAGATCATTTAGATAGCTATGAAATGTGGTTTTGTATTAAGCGAAGTAAAAACAATCACAATAAATTAATGAGTAAAACGTCAGAACTTATATAATTAACTCATTTACCAGGTACATGTTAGTGTAATTGGCTTCGAGCCAGAATTTAATTGTAAGGGCTAATAATTCTACTACTCGATTGCCCAAAATGAAATAGCCATAAGCATAACAAAACAGTGTCCTCACTCTTATTTGTTGGTTACATAGTAAGAATTTATATTTACATAACTTGATTCCTTATTTCTAGTGTTATTTGTGATATATATATGCTTTAGGTGTTTATTCACCTTTTTTCTTTTAAAAACAATAATTTATACTAAACAGACGGATAAGTGAGTGTACTGCTTTGTTGATTTTATTTTTCCTCATACACAGTAGTTTGTTATCATTGATACATTTGCACTTGGTTCATTCCACCCTATATGAATACACAAATAATATTTTCAACGGAAAGATGTTAAAGTTTGAAGCATTAACGTTATTTTTTAATTATTCTATAATCTTCACAGTTGATACCGATATGGTTACTTCTATTCTTCTAACACTTTCATATATCCAATCGTAAGGTGAAGGGGTCGCGTTTGTAATTGACCTTTTGTAGATATCTTTTATTCTGACTTGAGGATAAAGTCAACCAACGATTGACTAGATAATTTCATGTACCACATGTTTAAACCATTCAGTTTACGAACTGTAAACAAAAATCCCTATTTCATTTGCATGGTTTCTACAAAATAACTATATTGTGCCTTAATTTCCACTGAGTTAGTAAGGTAATCCTTTATTATTGGACAGTTAAAGCAATTTGTTATTATTGTTGTTCACTATCTAGAGTATATGAATTTTAATTAGTTCAATAAATATTCTGAAATCCTTGTTTTGGAAAATAGAACTATATAAAATTAATTGGTCGAAATCAATCAGATCGCCATGCATCTCTGTTTATATCAAATTCGGCGTTCAACTCCCCCATTATATCTCGTGCTCGTATCGGATCGTGCCCGAATACACCTGTTACAGAAGTATCTCTTCCACCAAAGCCACCTAGGAAATAACTGCCCACAGATGTAGGTATGATCTGTCATCTTATGCGATCTATGAATGACTGCATGATTTTACCACAAAATTAGTGTGAATGAGGTTCGAGTTTTCAAATCCCAATGCATGATGTGATATGATAATTTTAATTTCTTGTTAAAACATAAATGAATTATGTACTTGAATTGAATATACTGCATATGTATGCATGGTGATGCAAATTATTTATCGATTGCACATATGTCTACTTGAGTCTGAGCTGTACTTTTAGTGAGGGTTGGTAATACTACCGGCCTGTCGAGACTGAAGTTGGCATAGCGATGTTCGCATCTGTAACCTGTAGATTGATAAACGAGCAATTTAACTAGTAAGCCACCGCCACTGATATCGCATAACTGTTTTGCTTTTATTGTAATCGTGAAGTTTGTACTCAATATTTGTTAGGTTACAAATGTTTATTATTTTCGGGAACCTCTTCACTGATCTGACCCTTTTTTTACTACTATTCAGTGAATAATTTTCTATTGTGTTTTGTATACTTTTTGTTCTTAATAACTAACTTTTAGCAACTCAAAGTAGCTGGTTTCTTTTCTTGATCAGCTAATCTATGAAAAACTTCAGCTGACCGATTCTAAAGTGTTGTACATTATCATTAAACTAATCCTTATCATCATGCAATAGGTTCAAAAACTCCATAATGAATTGAGTTCATAATGAATTCTGTCCATTTTTGTTCAAGTAGGTGATAGTAATGTAACCTATTTATCAAGTCTAGCTCCATGTACTCTCTTTTGATCCACAATACAAGACCTAGTGATACGAATCGTCTGCTTAAACCAAATTAATTGCCGTGGTGTTTGGACTGTCAACCTATCGACGTTTTATCTAATAAACAATCGTCTCTTCTCTGGGGATATTAGCCGTAAAATTATTCCAGTTTCACTTAATATGAGCCTATTCAAATATTTACATTAATGAGAATGTTCTAACTTTACTTACACAAAGATTGGGACTGAGTTATTCGGTATACTATTTATGAGTTTATCAATTGTCCGTTACTTATTGAGGTTAAATTTCGAATAGCCTCGTCAAAACAAACACATCAGATTCCTTTTAGTTAGCATAACTCGGTCTTGATTATGTGAAAGAATAATGTTGTTTTCGGGAAGCCTTTATTGAAATAGTTAAGTCATAATATTTTAAAACTACTAACTTAGGATCTAAAGGCAAGTGTTTCTAACTTTAAACTGTACCTTAACACTATTTATACGGACTGGTGCCTTCAATCAGTGCATGAATCGCCATTAAAATTCTTCATGAGTATTCCAAATTTAATTTAGGCGACATCATATATATATGCTGATGACGATGAATTGGTTAGATAGCTTTTACTCATTAACATTTAATTTCAACTAAGAATATATAGCTAATTGAACTGTTGTACTTTTATTTGAGGTTTTCTTTTCTTTTTCTATATGTGCACAAGCCTGTGTGCGTTCACTTCAAAAATTTCTTGTTCTTATCGATCGATTGGTAGTATGTTGTAATAGTTTGACTTTATAATAAATCGATAAATATTTCTGAGGAGTTATTTTCTCTGTAGGTATCTACTTTTTGTGTTGCTTTTATTACACGATACTATTTACACATATGTAGTACCTGAAATTGCACCAAATGCCCTGGTACGGCCGAGGGTGGGGAGTATTCGCTCACCCTCTCGAAACGCTCTCACATGACCACACGTATATAGCCTCTGCTAGGGAAGTACTACTCACTGCCTTCTCGTGGCATTACTGTTGTTTACGAAAATGAGAGGACGAAAAGCGAATGTCCGGCGCTTTAACCGGATCACAAACCAATGGTGCACATGGGCTCCAGTATCCTGCGGGAACAAATGGCGTATGAACCAATCGTTGTTCACCGGCTATCATGGGACTACACCTCCTTACGATGCTCCATTGACCTGTAGATCAAACCTTCAGGTCGAAGGCTCGGGGTGTGGCCCCCGAAGAAAACCACCTGCCTCGGTTTGGGCACCCGGGCAATATCACAGTTCTCACAGAAATCAAATGAGATTTGTGTGGCGCATATGTATTTAGTGCCTCCTTGTACCAATATCTATGTGTTCAAGTAATAAATACAATTACAAGTACCTGAAATTAACATTCATATGATATATTTGTATAGCTAAGGTTTTATTTTCAGTTAGCTTGTAATTTCACAAGTACTTAGAACATATTAACTTCACTTGTATATATTATATATTATTTTGATAGATTATCCCATTTACCTTTATGCATTTTATTTGTGTTAAGTTTGTAGTTGATGAGAACTTACTAAATTAATGCTGATGTGTATAGAAATTCTACCATGTTGGCTTAATCTAATCCCGTTCACATTTGAACCCTGAGATAGTTTGTATGTGCTAAAGTAGTTGCCTCATTCCTAGGTGTCTTTCATACTAGGTTGATGAAGAAGCCATTGTTGCTGTACAGTTATTAACCCAGTTTTTTATTATCAGTCTTCATAGAAGAGATCCAATCTTTTGTTAAATTTTAGTTTTTGTATCATGGTTTGTAAGTTGGTGGCTGTTATCGGATACTTTCCCCATGTTAACTGTATTATACTGACTTTTATGATGTGAATGTTTGTCAGATCCCTTTTATTCTGCTTATTTATTTTTTTGTTATAACTACAGATCATTAATCTGTATGAAATTAAGCGCTGTTATTACATTGCTTACGCATGTTTTTGCAAAACAACGGTGATGATAATACGGTTAACATTTGCATATTTAAACTTCTTTCGATGATCCAATTGTTTCTTAAAATTTATTTTTTTTTCCTCTTCAGGAAACGACTATGACTCTGCCACGTCGTACTTCAGCTCGTCGTACTATTCGACCTCAATCAACCCCACAGCCAATCAAAACAATAGGGATTGGAGATCCGATTGACTAATTGTTATACAGTATAAATATATATCACTTGAAGCCTTCATATCTCTTCCAATTTAGATTTCCATGCTTCTGCTACTGTTGTTGTTAACTAGGTTTATTCTTATACTGTACAGTTGCTTTCTTCCTAAGCAGATTGGAGTTCGGTGCTGTGTATCTAGATTGGCTTATTACTATCCGGGAAAAAACATGTATTTCCTTTGTGTTTGTGTGTGTGTGCATGCAAATTTACGCATTTCGTTTTCTTCCCTTTTGTCTATTTTGTCCAATAAAATCCTGCCTGATATCATATAAATGTCAATAAAAAGAAATCTCCAGTCATTTTTTCTAATCTATTTCACTTTTCCATTCAGACATTACAGACACATAAACAAGCACATGATCAAAATTACTACAAAGTTCTTATCAGTAAATTTTCTAACTCCTATTTTCTTTTTATTGGGCCTCAGAAGGACAAATGTTTTTTTTTTCCATTTTAATTGTGTAATGTGTATAAAAAAAGATAATCTCTCGAAGACTTAAAGAGCTGTTCAGTCAGACTGTAAAAATAACGATATATATATATATATATATATATTTATATGTATAGTTTTTAAACAACATTAACATTCGATTATGTAATTCATTTTACGTTCTCTTAATGAAATGTCCCTGAAAGTGGATTCGCTAACGCTAACAAATAGGTATTATAAATATATTTGGTTGGCTAGGTTAGTTTTCCAGTTCACTTGAATTCTTCGTCGTATTCATTTTAAACATGTCTTCATACAATTATTACAACCATTAATATTTAGGTTTCCTAACGCTATTATATAACTTAAATTATTTTTCGTATCATGTTTATTTGTGTTATAACACATTAGTGTATGTTTGATGGATATGGAGATGTATTGTTATGTGTGTATATCACCATTTAATATGTTTATGTATATAAAAGAATAAGGTAATCACACATATTTCATATATATATGGTTATTTTTTTAAAGTGGTAATAACAGTTGGATTTCACCTCGGTAACAACATAACTCTGTTCCAATTGTGAATGTCAATATTATGCTCTTCATTGTCTATCATCTGATTGATAATTTCCTTTGATTCTCCAAAATATAATATATATATTAGGCATTAGTATTTTTGAAAGCCTTTCTCTTTGCTTGTTTTTTTTAATGTGTACATGTTATTTATGTTATTCAATTTTCGTTTTACTACTGTAAGTAAGCGTTAAGTATTTTTATTGAATTTATAAAGCGACAAGTGTGTAAAATTCCGACAGGATGTGTTGACAAACTAATTCAGGCTAGTGACATTGAAGCATTTGTCAAAAAACTACAACCTTCACAAGTTGATATTCAACTGATATTTTAAGTATATTTTTTCTTCGAAGTTGACATTTTTTGTATGAGATAAGTGAATAAACAAGACAATTTTAAATGTAAACTACTCCGTAATTGTACCATAGAATGATCTAAGATTTCAAATATCAACAGGAAGTTGCGCAGTGATCAAGTAGTTAGCGAAGAATAGGAGGATGAAAATATTGGACAATGTTCTCCATAAAATCGTTTACTTAACTATACATTTTTATAGTTGTTTGATAGATATATGAGTCTTGATCATTACACAGCCTTTTGATATTCGAAATCTCGAGTCACTTTATGATACCATGGAATTCTTTGCAAAAGGTGAAGTCAGTTCTACCGGTTAAACATAACATCTTTGCACCGAAAATCAACATATGAACGCTCATAATAGTCA